TATCTGTCATGAGGAATAGTTCTGTTTGGTCAACAGGCCGGGCCGGGCCTATTGACCTCTGGCGCCAAGGAGAGCACACCCAGTTTCGCTGACTCTGGGCTTAAGCCAATTTTTGCCCAGGGACGGTCCCTACACCCTCCCTGACCTCTCCCCCTCTATTTCTGCCCCTGACCCTGGTGATACAACTGAGTCTGAGACAGGCCAGCCGGGGATGCACCCTCCACCACTGGAAGGGCTGTTTGTCACACTGGGATGCACTCTGGCTTCCCAAAGTTGGGGGAGGGTACACAGAGGGGTCAGGGGCAGGAAGGGGGTTCTCGGTCTGGATGGAGGAGGAGGTCAAAGGTCAGGTCAGTGCCAGAATGGAGAGAATGAGCTGCCCTGGGGGCATAGACATGTGCTGACCTTGAACCCACTCTTCAGAGCCCTAAACATGCTAGGGATGACCTGTGGATACTTCCAGCCCCCCCACTCCCCTTGTGGCTTGGGAGGGGCCTTTCCTGTTACTGGTTTTCACCTCTCCTTTCTCTCCACTTCTAGCCTTCCTCTTTTAACTCAACGGAGAGCTCTGCTTATGAGCTGGTACCTGCTCCTCCCTGGCTTTGTTCATCTCCCCAGTTCTCCATCAGCTATCCCAGGCTTCTGTGCAGGGTGAGCTTCGAGTCACTGGGCGCTTGTTCAAAATCCAAACTCTGGTCCCTCTCCCAGCCCTGGTTCTCTCAGTGCAAGCAGTGGCCAGACAGTTGGGGTTTCGAAAGCTCCCAGGTGATTTAATGTCAGAACCACTGACCAGTTCAGAACCACTGGAGATTTATGATGTTTATGGAGTCATTGACTTTCATGTCATTCTCACACCTGGAATCCATCAACTGTGTTTCTCTTTTGTTTCTGTGTTTCTGTGTGTTCATTATGTGTTTCTATTTGTCCGTACTGATCATTGACTTATTTACTAGTACCTGTCTATAACTGACCACATCATTCATTTAGCCAGGATCCACCCATATCCTTTCCAACAACCGTATGTCAATATAGTTCTATGTTCACTCATTCATTAATTCAGTAACCCACATCGAGTACCTCTTATGTGCCAGGCACTGTGATAGGCACCAGGGATGCAGCAGTGAACAAAACAAGGACTCCTCCCCTCATGGACAGACAAATATATAACACATCAGGTGATGAGTCCCAGGGTAAAGGGGACACAGAGTGTGACAGTAGGTGCTAGCTAGCGCTGATCTAACAGCTATACCAGTTCAAATATTCACCTATTTAGCTACCTTTCTACTTGGCTATTGCAGTTTTTCTAAAAGCAATAGCCATCAATGCTCAATATATTCCATAGAAAAAATAAAAAATAAAAGCAACAACCAAAATGTCCTGAGTCCATGACAGGCCCAGCACGGAGCCCTTCTGAGTGGATAATCCCCTGAGATCCTCGTAACAGCTCTAAAACCATCATCTTCCTTTTAGGAGTGAGGAAGCTGAGGTTTAGAGAAGTAAAGTGACTTGCCCGAAGTCGCATGGGAGGAAGCAGTAGATTTAGCCAGAATCCAGGCAGTCCAGCTTTGGAGACAGCTCTCCTCCACATCTGGTGCTTCAACCTCCACTTCTAGCTTCCTCTTCCTTGACCTCTGTCTCCTCTCTCTTAGATTCCTGCCACCCTGAGTCAAAGATGCTAGGTTCTGTCTTGCAGCCAGGTCACAGCCCATGCTGGTCCTAGAACACTCCTTCCTCTCCTCTCTGCGCAGCTAATTCCTGCTCATCCTTCAGATCTCTGTGCAGACATCCCTTTCTTTTGGGACCCTCTTACTGCCCCATGCAAGCCCAGGTGTCTCCTTGGCATCCCACATTCTCCCATTAGAGTCACTATCATGCAGGATTGTAATTCTCTATCTGCTCCCCCAGACAGATGATGAGCTCCCTGGGGCCACCACATACCTTGTCTCTTATCCACTACTGTGCTCCCATGTCCAGCCAAGGGGCTGGCTGGCACAC